GGTTTGTACTTGCTGTATTCATATTCTAAGACACAGAACTACTGTAAAAAAGGTAAATGACAAACTCAATCTCTTACCCATCTAATATTAGACTCTCATAAGCTGCCTTTTTGTCACAGACAGGACAAATCCAGGTGGGCTTCTTTTCATTCATTTGTAGGTAAAGAGCAGCATCAAAACATTGCAGATGTGTGCAGGTAACAGCACGGCATGGGATTGTCAGTCTCATTTTTCCCAGCTGCAGGAGATGCAATAGAAACAAATATCAGCATGACAGACAAGAGGGAACCAAAATACATTTTCGGAGATAACAATGAAATAAACCAGTCACAGGATAAGAATGGTTTCCTGCTGGTAAATAAATGCCCAATCCCAAGGTCCTGGTATGCCCATAAATCCTATCAAAATCAACAGGAGTTGTATGTGCAGAAAGAATACAGGATTGTGTCATTCACAGAGACATTGGTTTTGCCTCTAAATGTCAAGGCCCAGCAGAGGCCTTTTAATAGCAGATAGGGCCAGCACAATGTCAGTGTTCTATTGCTATGATTTTGTTCCAGTAAAATGCTTGAAGCATTCATAATATTCTGTACCTTTTATCCCAGGATCTCAACGTGCTTTATGAACACGGATTAGTGAAGTCTGACTTCTGAATTGGTATTATACCCACTTTATATGGGTAAACTGAAGAACAAAGCAGATCACTTAGCTGGTCACAGTCACACAAACAAATTTGTAATTGAGCTGGGAATAAAAGAGTTTTGACTCCCAGGCATCTTGTTCTTGTTAAAAGATTACACTACTACAGACTTGCAGCATTATTTCAATCTAAACAGGCTCAAAGAGAATCCCAAAGTTATTTGTAGATCTTATGACATTCAGTGTCAAAGTGGTCAAGAGTTGGCTTATTCTTATAAAAAGGTGGTAGTTTGGTATAGTAGGACGGACATTTGAATCAGGGGATCTAAACTCTATTCCCTGCTCTGCCATTTATCTGCTGAGAAACTCTGGACAAGTCATGTCAATTTTTAATGCCTCAGTTTCACCCTCTTAAAAAAAAGGGGGGTGGGGGACGGGGATAACAATACTTCCTCTCCTGTTTAAAAGGTCTTGAGAGGTACAAATGATCAAGTATATTGCACTGGATGCTCTCACAGCACTTTTATGCTTTAACTTGTTGACTACTGTTTGTATTTAAAAAAAATACCACTTATTATATTATAGAAATCCCTCTAACAGTAAAAGCTATTTTATGAAGTTCTGAGTTGTGGGCCCTTTTTACAATAATCCAACTTTGAATTTAAGATGAACAAAAATAAAGAATGATTTCCTCCCCCCACCCCCCCCCAAAATTTAATTGGATATTATACTTCACAACTTTACTTACAGGACACATCAGAGATACCCGCAAACTGGTTGTGGCAATTTCGCTATCAGGATCAGCCGTCAGCTTTTCTTTAACTAGTACAATGAAAAACACAATTTAAATTACATTACATAATCATTATTAAAAATGCCATTCTCGCCACTCAGGTGTTTGAGTAGATACTCAATGATTAGGGGGCTTGAGCACATGACTTATGAGGAGAGGCTGAGGGAACTGGGATTGTTTAGTCTGCAGAAGAGAAGAATGAGGGGGGATTTGATAGCTGCTTTCAACTACCTGAAAGGGGGTTCCAAAGAGGATGGATCTTGACTGTTCTCAGTGGTACCAGATGACAGAACAAGGAGTAATGGTCTCAAGTTGCAGTGGGGGAGGTTTAGGTTGGATATTAGGAAAAGCTTTTTCACTAGGAGGGTGGTGAAGCACTGGAATGGGTTACCTAGGGAGGTGGTGGAATCTCCTTCCTTAGAGGTTTTTAAGGTCAGGCTTGACAAAGCCCTGGCTGGGATGATTTAGTTGAGAATTGGTCCTGCTTTGAGCAGGGGATTGGACTAGATGACCTCCTGAGGTCCCTTCCAACCCTGATATTCTATGATACTCATTAATATACTGCTTAATTTTCATGTAAAGTCGTCTAAATTGAGAAGCTGGGAAATTTGCTTACAGCAAGTATCAAATTTGCATTGATTTCCTAGTTTTAGGCCCAATCCTGCAAACACTGGCAGGCAGAGTACTCACTGCCATCAACAGTAATCCCACTGATGACCCACAGCAGTTAGCACTAGGCACAATGGTGTTTGCAGGAGCGCACCCTAACCTATATATAGGCTGAATCAAATACAACCTTTGAAGGGGGCCTCCAAAAAAGTCTTTACACTTCACAGGAAGGTGAACGGCACCTCATACATGTGGAGAGATTAATGGATATTGATGTCAACACAAGCGCTATATTTTACAGCCCACCACTGCAGAGGTGCTCTGAGCAATATCAGGAGAGAGTGCAGACACTGAGTAGGTGTTCCCCTCATGGTCTGGAATGAGCAAAAGCATTGCAAACTCTCTCTCTCTACTGGAGATAGAAGACTTCTGTAAATCTGCATGCTGTAAATTTGGTACCTTTCACCAATTCTAGATTAAAAAGCAACAAAAGTAGAAAAATTCAACCAACTTACTTAGTGCTCTGGAATGGTCTGGGTTTCTGATACCTTTCATTTTTAACCTCTGCAAAAGCATGGCTGAGGTGAGCTGACGAACAAGATATACAGACATGGAGTAATTCTACAAAAGAAGAAAAATATGATTAAGGATGGGAGTTTCCCTGCCTTTTATTTGAAAACAAACAAAAAACAACCAGTTTTATTTCATGCAGTAACAGACATACCTCACAATACAGTAAGATTATAAACTATGCTAGCAGAATTAAACGTAAATCAATTTTCTGTTAGTTCAACAAAACAAATGGTCACACCTTTTTGAAATATTTTTATAGATTAATGATGGTGCAGAAATGGAATTTCTTCCTAAGTAAAGCTATTTATTAGTTTGCTGACCAAAGTCTGAAGCTATTGCAATCAGTGGGATAAAATCAGTTGGTTCAAGACAGTGCACCTCTTCATAAAGTTCCACCCTCTTACACCAACAGAGAACTTGGCCAGATGTCAAGTCATGTGTTTGGCAGTTTTATGGTAGGTATCTCAAAATGTGACCCAAAACAGAATATAAAACTGTTTATATAAAAGCACATGCCTGCCCACATAATCATTATTAGTGCACATTTCAGACTAATACTAACACAATTACTTTCTCCCACGTCTTTAGCAGGCTCCCAAGTGAACAACTGCAGGAGAGTAATATTACGTCTAGACATCTCCAATACCAGTAGTAGAGTGGATCAGAGCTCAAGATGGGAGTTTGCTTCTGGGAAAAAGTAATAATGTACAGATAGACAAAATTAAATAATCTATCCTCCCTCCAGTGTGCAATAGTTCTCTATAATACAGTTAATATCTTGTATAGTCTAAATTGGGGTACAAGAACTGGATGCCAGTACTTCACTTGAAAGACTATTCCTCAGTACTACAGATCTCACCATCATAAATTTTTCCCGATTTAACGTAAGTTTTCCCCTTCTTACCTTCAACCCTGTACTCCCAGTTATACTTCCTTTTACTATGTCAAATAACACCTCCACCTGTTCTTGTTATTTACACCCTGTCAATGTTAAAAGGCATATCCCACACAACTGTCACTCAAATGAATGAAACAATATTTAACTCACTCTTCCTGCAAATTAAGCACTCTTGGCCTCAGAACTTTAAATGCTCTCCTCTGAACGCCCTCCAATTTGTCACCATCTTTTTGGTCAAACTCAGAGCAGAGCACACTATTTCAGGTGTGGTCACACCTATTTCCTTCTTGTGATACGATATAACTTTTTGCTACATATGGAAGGTATTGGTCTATTTACTACTGTATCATATGGCAAAATCAAGCCTAGTCTGGTGTACGCTTGTACCATTACTACTTTTGAGGTTTCTCCATTATTGATCTGTTTTGGTCTATTTTTCCTTGGTTATATTTTCTAAATCAGATCTCAGTTTGCAATTTTTGGTCCTCACTGGTGTTTACCACTGCTCCCTAATTCATACCATCTGCGAGTTTCATTAACTCACTTTATCACTTCTTTCAGATCACTGATGAAGATTAAGACACTATAGTACCCCCACTAGACACTTCCCCTCCAACAAAATGTGCTGCTTATAACCCTTTGTTTACAGTTCTTCATAGCCAGTTTTCTTTCCTTTTAGCTATGGTCTTATGGCTCCCATCACTGTAGTATCAGAGTGCCTTCTATTTAAACACAGAAACACTCCTAAGTATTTAAAAATAGAAATGAAAACAACATTTCTTCCTTTGAAACCTGTTGGAGGAATAGTTATATCTGAGTGCACAAAAGTTGTCTACCTGGAAGCCAAGTGTGTGTGTGGGGGTGGGGGTGTTGAATGAGTTCTAAAGCAGTCTGGATCACACTTATCTCTTGCAGGCACAAGTTCCACAATATAGATCCAGCTCCTGTGAAAGTTCTGCATTCACGAGGCTTCCACTACCAGTTAACAGATGTATCACTGGTGAATGTAGCTATTGTGGGAGGTTATGATCACTGTGGGAGAGGGGATCTCTCAGAAGCTGGGTCCAATACCATGAAAGGTTTCCAATTTCAGGACAGAGACCCTGAACCAGACTACTGAATTCAGGGCTCAATCCTGCAAGATGCTGAGCACTCTGACATGGATCTAGCAAAGCACTTCACCATGTGCTTATATTACATCTTATAAGTAGTCCCATAGGCTTCAGTGTCAGAGTACTTCGCATCTTGCACAAAGGAGCCTTGGCAACCAATGCAGAGAGAATACCGCATTGATGCATGTGCAGCAATCCATGTTGCTATGCAGATGGCTTGATATGTTTAGCATCAGTTGTAGTAACATTTTAAAAACTCCCACACCCCAATCTGGGTCTATGCTGGTTATGTACTATGTGTATGTGTATTATGAACACTGTAACCGACACTTGTAATCCCACATAACCCAAGCCTGACCCCAGATATACAGTACCTTCCTTCTTAATTTGTGTAAATTTGATTTTAAACATTAACTTAATTGTGAAATTAATGTTTTTATGAAGCCAATTTTACTTATAAATGAACAGCATTTAGGTAGAAAATAGGAAACTCAAACATGTCTGCATGAGGGTGGCTGGAGACAAGACACGTCTGGTCATTTTCAAAATGTTTGCTCCTGTGCCCCTGGACTTCTCTTATTAATCTTAATGGCCAACTGCCTATAGAAGACTCATGCTACAGAGCATTTTCTTTGTCACAAACTATATCATCAAGTTAGGAAATGGCAAGTTCCTCTCATTACTACTCATTTTTATTATTCTTCATCTCACTACAAACAGTGAAAAATAAAAAAATTGTTCTCTGAAGCAATTCTAAAGCCTTTTACATTATTGTTTTACTTTAATAAGTTTCAGGTGAAATGCTGGCACTGCTGAACTCACTGGAGTTTTGCCATTGACTTCAATGGCACCAGGATTTCTCCTATAGTCATTAATCAAGCTACTGGATGGGAAGAGAGTTGAAATCTTTATAGTGAAGGAGTACAGGCAACTTATGTTAGCACATCTCTTGCCTGCAACAATCAAAGAGGGAAAAGGAGTAATACTGAGTGAGGTTACTCTCATACTACAAAGAACATAGTTTACCTTTCCAATTTCAGATGCCCAAGAAATGGAGATCTGGTTTGGCACTGCTGATGATAATCTAACTAGAGATGTAATATTCAATGGGCGGCCAGGTCGCTTCTGCTCAATCCCATTTTTTGGTGGTGGAGCATATCCCTGCAATAAGGAAGAAAAGAAGTGTTTCTCTAAAATTTTAGACTGTACTCTGGTCAAACTCCGACTGTACTCTGAAATCTACTGAAGAGACACCATTACAAGGTTTTTGGAAAACAGAAGTTTTTATACCAAGTTAAAAATATTGTTTTCTGAAGTTAGTTTTTGGCACTCCTTTTGTATTTTGCAATCACAAATCATTTACTTACTTACCCTTCTCTCCCACCCCAATAAGCGTCTTGTAATCATTAGCAAAGAGACCTTTACTTCCCTCTAGTGACTGGGTACGCATCAAGTTACATGCTCTGTCCTGAAACTTATCAATATAGAAAAGTTCTGTACAGCTTTACAGAGCTGTACAAAGATTACCTGTAAATGGGTAAAGTTCTCCTCCCTTTTCATCTACCCTCAAGCTTCAGAGTTCTAGTGCATACGAGTCACAACCTTGCCCAAATGTTAATTGTTATGAAAATACCTGCCCATAGAAATGAGTCTCACATTAGCCTTCTCTGTGCTAGGGAGATTCTGCAAAAAGTTCCCTACGGTTGTTTGGCTCCACCACTATTGGCAATGTTTGAAGCCCTAGAATGTGTCTGTCCTTCATCCTCACCGTGAATATTGCTATATCCCCACAGCTATTTAAGAAGAATCTTTATGCTGCAATTTATCTTTGTCACAAATGGACCGAAATAATTAATATCTACATAGTACTTTTAACGTGTAAAATGCTAAATATTAGCATTGGTATCTTAGTGATCATCAGTGCCTGCAAATGCCCGATGTACAGATCGGTAACTACACAGGCAAATTAGACATAAATTTGTGAGCAAATTTTTAAAAAAAGAGTCAGACCCTTTTTCTTCCCCACTTTAGACTTTAAGCAAACTAATCTATCAGCAAAAGCTACATATTGAATAGAATTTCAATAACTTACCGGCAATGGAAATAACTTCCCATTTACTTTAATGCACAAACTATTAGGATAGTTATCTTCTTGAGGGCAGCTAGTCTCTGCTAGGCATAACCTATTTCCAAAAGAGAAATTTCATTTTTAAGTGACGTTGCACTCAGAAAACTATTTATATATGTTAAAATATACTTGAATTAAAATAATGAAGTACAAACTTAATGTAAGAAAAACCTTTAATCACCTTAGCTGAACTTGGACTGTGTAATCCCTCCTGCCCCCTGGCAAGAAGTCCCTGTTGGGGGGAAAAGAAAAAAAGAGAGTCTATTGAGAGAGAGGGAGGGGAGGGGGTCGGAGGGGAAACAAAATCTCACACCCCAATCTATCACATAGGAAAAAAGGACAGACCTGCTCCAACATCTCTAGTTACTTTCAAGACTCTTAAGTTTCTCATTACTACACTACCCATGTAGTACAAGAACAAAGCACTTGTAACCAAAACAATCTATTTGTATTAAAAGGATAAACTAGGTCTGTGCCTTCCCTCCAGCCAGGTCTTGGGACTCCAAGGAGGTTGTGTAGAGAGAGGGGAGGAAAAAAAAAATCTGACACCACCTGAGGGGGGAAGCCAGCCCGAAGGAGGTCCTCCCTACTGCATTCCACTGACAAACAAGGATAGAGGGTAGAAGCAGCCTCCCACCCCAGCAATTAGTGATGTAAATATTGTTTAAAAAGATAACTGTTTAATCTATTAAATAGGTTAACCGATTCGGGCCTCTCTCCATTTCAGGCAGGACCTTTGTTCCGAGGATGGCGCATCTCCCCTCCCCCCCCTTGCCCCTGACAGATGGGAAGGGCAGCTGAGCTCATAATGGGGGTGACAACAGGCCTAGCCAGGAGAGCCTAGGGCAGTTGAGGGGGCCCAGCACCTCCCTCGCATCCTCAGTACCCAGGAAAAGGGAGGGGGGGCCCAGGTACCTAGTTGTCCCAATGTGGCCTCCGCATACACTCCATGCCACGCCAGCAGCAGCTTCCCTTACCAGCGTGCTGACCACCTCCGCAGCCAAACCCCTTCCAATGGCACAGGGAGAAGCCAGGGATGACTTTACTCCCCTGACGGGGCCCACAGCCCCTGCCAACCCCCGTGGCCAAACGTGTACACCCTGCCCGGCTGGCCGTGCCCCCTCCTCCCCGCGAAGCCCCCGGGGAGAAAACCCTGCTGGGCTAGAGTGTTAATATCGACCCGGCCCCTTTAAGATGGGAATGATGCCCACCCTTTCCTGGTTGCCATAATCACCTCTTGCCAGAACCTGGTCAAGACCCACGTGCATGGGGCTAACGGTTGTGGGGGTTAACGGTTAGACTACTACTTACCCGTTAACCGCTTAATATTTTACATCCCTACCAGCAACCAGGGAACATGGGGAAGAAAACAGTCTGCCACTCTTGCAGCAGCCATGAAGGCTATTTGATTTCAATTAATCAGGTCTCATTTTCTTATCTAACTCCCTGATGATGCAGGATTGTTCCCCAACATAACCATTATGTGTTTGTACAAACACTAGTTTTAGGTGTACTGAATAATAGGCTCCCACCCACCACTTCACTTGAAAGATTGTTCCACAGGCGAAGAGATGTGAAGGAAGATTTTTCTGAAACTCCCCTGTAACTTTGCAAAAGCAGTGATTTGACACATGCTCACAAATAAATGCCAAGCACTCCCTCTTACCTGGAAATGCAGATTTCTCTGACTTGCTGAGGTGTTAAAGCAAAGATAAAAAACTTCTCTTGGAACCTCTGAATACTGCTCTGTACTGAGAGAAGACATGCAAAGCAGCTTTAAAACAGAATGGTCCACTAACAAAAGTCCAAATGATTGCAAGGGTGGTGAGTTAATAGAAGAGTCCACAACTCTGCTTTCTTGGACAAAACAAAGGTCACATAATAATGGAGTTGCTGTTGATTACATGCATTTGTCAATGAGGAATGGATATGAATCATTCAATTACAGTCAGATAGCTTAATATTAAAATTACACTTAATACTAAAGTGACATTTTTGCCTTCTTCAGAAGCTTGGAAAACTAGGTTTATTTTATTCCTAGATTTTACAAGGGATTATACAGAGTTGAAGTATTCCAAAATTTTCGCTGGGTGTCAGGCAAACATGCAAAGCAAACAGCAACCCTGCATTTCCTCCCACATATCCTCATAAAAATATAAGAAGTAGAGTTTGAGATATTACAGTAAGTAGTTATCAGACAAGCATGTGCAGAAGCTGTTACTGGCCAGATGGAGAATAACGATTCACTGGAAAACTGCTTTAATCCCAGGAGCGGTGAAGGAAGTTACACCTTTGGAAAGTACCAGACCTCAATGCTAAAGAAAACCATCTATACGACGACTTTGCCTACACTACAAAGTTTTGTCAGCAAAAGCTGTCTTTTGCCGACAACACAGGGGCGGCGTGCACACACGACAAAGCTACTTTTGGCGGCAAAACACCGCTGTTTTGCTGACAAAATAAAACCACCTCAACGAGAGGCATAAAGCATTTTGTGGCAAAGTTAAAATGACAAAGAATCAGTTGTTTTGCCGACATAACTGGCTTCCAGTTCCACCAGTATCCCACAATGCCTGCCGTGACCTCTCTGTTCACGGTTTTGAACTCCGCTGCCCTGCAGGCATGCACCCCTCCCCTTTGAAAGCTCCAGGAAGCATTTGACAGCTGAGTGTGCAGCTCCCTTTGGGGAACAAAGAGCAAATCATTAATGTGGAATGCTCCTGTTCTGTCCTGCACTAGGAACACCGGGACTGGGGGGAGAAGAGAAGGAAACAACTGCTGTGCTGCTTTGACATTCCTCAGCAGGGAGAGCTCACAGAGCTGCTCAGGATGCCGCTCCCAGCAGCTGAGGAAGCGGTCGGAGAATTCGGAGTGAATCACAGAACCCCAGGCAGGCAGAGTGGAAGAGACTTGAAGAGACTGCTGTGCGGAGCAGGGGGGAATGGCGTGTGTGTGTGTGGGGGGGTGTCCCCCTCCCCCTGCCTCAGGATAGGTCAGTCAGCCTGCTGTCTCCCCTGTCCCAGACACACCACTCTCCTCTCCCTCCCACCACACACTCCAGTTGAAAAGCAGCTGACAATCTACTGGGATGCCTGGAACATGTGACTGAGAAATCTGTGTCATGTGATGTTGTACCTGCCTCATGAGGCATTGCAAACCCTTCCCAAAGCACCCCGCAGCTAGTTGCACAGTGGGATAGCTACCCACAGTGCACTGCTCTGTCGATGCAAGAGCTGTTAGTGTGGATGCACTCTGGTGACACAAGGAGCTAGTGTGGACATGCCACAGCACTTTTGAATTAAAGTGCTTTAATTAAAGAAGCATAACTTTTGCCAACAAAACTTTGTAGTGTAGACAAGGCCTAAACGTGCCTGGGGATCCCCCTTGTGAATATTTAAGGAGGCAGGGAGGAAATCAGACTAATGGTAGAATCCTTTTACATACGCCTACTTGGCCATTTGTGATGGTAATTATTTTAACATGAGAACAGGGTGTAAAATGTGTTCCCTTATGGATTTCTTTTCTGGGACCAATCGCACCCATAATACTAGGTTTCAGGGTAGCATCCGTGTGAGGCCTTGGCTACACTTGCGTGTTACAGCGCTGTAAAGCCGCCCCCAGCGCTGTAACTCACTCCCCGTCCACACTGGCAAGGCATTTGCAGCGCTGTATCTCCGTGGTTGCAGCGCTGCATGTACTCCACCTCCCTGAGAAGAATAGTGAGTATTGCGCTGTCGCTGCAGCGCTGCGGCGCCAGTGTGGCCGCCCAATGCGCTGTGAATGGCCTCTAGAATTATTCGGCAGTATCCCACAATGCCTGTTCTAGCCACTCTTGTCATCAGTTCAAACTCTACTGCCCTGGCCTCAGGTAACCAACTATGTGACCCACCCTTTACGTTCCCCGGGAATTTTAAAAATCCCCTTCCTGTTTGCTCAGCTCAGCGTGGCGTGGCGTGCTATCAGCGAATATTTCCATGTGACCATGCCTCCACATGCCGAGCGAGCCCCAGCATGGAGCAATGGCGAGTTTCTGGACCTCATCAGTGTTTGGGGGAAAAAGCTGTCCAGTCCCAGCTGCGCTCCAGCCATAGGAATTACAATATCTTCGGGAAGGTATCAAAGGATATGATGGAAAGGGGGCATGACCGGGACGCCCTGCAGTGCAGGATTAAAGTGAAGGAGATGCGGAGTGCCTACCGCAAAGCCCGTGACGCAAACGGCCGCTTGGGTGCCCCCCCGCCCCCGCGACCTGCCGATTCTACAAAGAGCTGGATGCGATACTTGGGGTTAACCCCACCTCCACTCCCAGCACCACCATGAACACTTCAGAGCCGGTGGGGAGGGGGCAGGGGGGAGAGAGGAGGAGGAGGAGGAAAACGGGAGTGATGGTGGTGGGCCGGATGGAGACAACCCGGAATCCCTGGAACCATGCAGCCAGGAGCTCTTCTCGAGCCAGGAGGAAGGTAGCCAGTCGCAGTGGCCGGTACTTGGTGGAGGACAAGACAGACGAGCAAGTTCCCAGTAAGCGGGTTTCCTTTTCGGGAAGGAATTTTTTCGGTGCGGGCTCTTTGGGAGAGGAGGGTTAGGCCTGCATGCCTAGATATGGAATAGTGCATTGATGTGGTTTATCACATCGCGGTAATCGGCCTCGGTAATCTCCTCGAATGTCTCATCCAGAGCGTGTGCAATGCGCTTGCGCAGGTTTATTGGGAGAGCCACCGTGGTCCTTGTCCCAGCCAGGCTAACATGTCCGCGCCACTGTGCCGCGAGGGGCGGGGGGGGACCGAGTTGCTGCACACAGGC